CTACAATGTTCTCGCCCGACACGGGTGCAAGGCACTTTCACGATATACTATTAACCTTTCGCGGGCCACAAGAAATGATACCGCGGTGCGCAGTTGGAGAACACTGCTTTAGAAGGCCAAAACCGACACCGTGGTGCTCTCTGGGAGTTGCCTGAATCACCTCTCCGAGGTGTCAAACGGCCATGTGATTGATATGACAAGGAGTGAACGAGAAACGAGATTAATGCTGCACACCATGCATTGCAATGTCGCATTACATACGTTTTTAATCAGGTGGAGGCAGGATGTTTACCTCTTGTTCTCTTTTGCCCACCCTCAAAAAAATATACCGGTTATGTTGACTAGTGTCTCATCACTTCCCTCTATTTACACCACTGGATGAACGTTCAAACCATAGTATATAATTTCGTTTTCGTTTCCTATTGCCATCTTGTTTGTCGCTCCGTGAATCGTGGATTTATTAAGCAAACTTTGACCGCGCAGTAAGTGGGCCCCTCGCTCGCCGTGACACTTCACAATGGACGCCGATGCCGATTCTTCTCCATTTCCATTTTCAGCAGACGATTTATGTACCAGCAAATCTTACACTATCACATTGAACGTACTATATTCTATATGAATTTTTAAAGGCGTATTAACTTCAAAAAAGTAAAACAAACTTCCCGGCATGAGAAATGCAACAATAAATTCAATAGCTCGAAAAATGTCACATTGACTCATGAAATGTGACTTCTTTTTCTTTATGTGACTTATGCCATGTAATACGGTGGATTATTAGGTTTTACATCCATAATGCAAAAGCGGCAAAAAATACGCCCACAATCGACAAACGTTTTCGCGGGAAAATGACCCCAAACCAGGAGTTAAAGGCTGCGTCTCTGCACTTGGTGTGTTATTGCTCTTCAGTGACAGTCTTCAACCTTCATAGCTCAGTGACAGTCTTCAACCCTCGTAATGTTATCAACCTCGCCTGATCAGTGTCAGCTTCCTCCTGTTGAATGACACGATCCGTATCCCTTTTCATCTTCGATGGACTCCTTCATGTCGTCTTGATGATGCTGAAGTGAACTTCTCTGCTGTTTGTCCCATTATTGCTTGACAGTATTCATGCCAGGAATTCTAGCAGGTTATTCTGTGAATTGTAGTGTTTTGATTTTCGTACCAGACAGGGATTATTTGAATATCTATAGGATCAAACTGCAAAAACTTGAATATTTATAAAGTGTACTACTACACTTTGAACATTAATTTTATGAATTTTATAGACCATGACGAACTTAGTCCTAAATAAATCATCGATTGAAATAATTTTCTTGCTCTCAAAATCTCACATGTTTTGCCCGTCTTCTCTTTCTACTCCCGTTGTAAAATTGCGCCATTTGATGGCTGCAACTCGTAGCAGAATGATACTCATTACAATACAGATTTCATTATGATACAGGTTCTTGACCAATCACACAGTTTACAAACCAAGTATTGGCCCGTAATTAATCATTAAGAATTGTTCTAATAAATGTTTCGTTCTATTGTATGCATTAAAATTGCTTTTAATATTCTATCATTCCTGTCAATTTTAATTTATTTCATTATTAGCATCTTTTTACACGGAGTGTAATTTGAAGTAAATTGGATCGTAATTTCACTTTGATCCGATTTGGCTAGCGCAGTAAACCGATGTCAAATGTGGTAGGGTAGGAAGGAAGCTTTTTGCTTGGTGGCCATGCCTGAAGTGGCTTATGTGGCCTGCATGACAACTGTCACGAAACGATTCAATGTAAATGTTTAACTTATAAAAGTTACCATAAGTCGTAGAAACAGTATCGTATGAAACTCGATTAATACACTCGTGTGATGTTTACGATACTCTTGTATTAATACCCATCATTACATCATTGTTTCATAACGTACTATTCTTTTACCCTAATATTTTGTATTGTGATAATGACTTAATGTTGTGTACATATATTATGAGAAATAAGTAATGCTCAATATTATTATTTGAATATTATTATTACTATTAAATCTATTATTGTATTAAATTTATTACATTAATTAAAATTACGTTCGGAGTGTTTCAGAAATGTATTTTATGAAAGAAAATTGTTTGACAAAACCCCTTTCCGAAACCGACGAGATCAAATTGAAAGCCTTGTCTTCCAAATGAAAAACGAAATGAGAGTTTGTGAATGCGCTGCTTCTAAAAGATGCAACAAAAAATCTAACATCGCCTTCTACTAATTTAATAGCCAACTCTTTCGCAATTACTTCTGACGGGTACAAGACCACTTGCGCAGTCCACAGTCAGCGAACCGAAGAAAACCCTGCGGAGTGCGTAGTCATTGCGTGCTGCACCTTTACACTTCAGCGCTTCTTGGACTACTTCGGCGACAGCATTTCACGCACGTCCTCACAAAAGCTCACTGCAACTTTCCCTTTGACTTGATGAGAAAACCATTAAAACACACCTTTTTATTCCCTCAGAGTTATTTAACGAATTTCTTTTGAAACTCTTACAAAAAATTATGGTTGGTCGTATTTTTTCAACGACAACTTTTTTAAAGGAAGCTCAGTGTCCTTTTATTTATGTAAGATAAGTAAGTTTTAATATGAGAGGTTTCTATATTGTGCATCTCTAAGTTTCCGAAAACAACATGTTATGTGATATAATCTCCATGAATAAGAAAACTGTTTCATGTAATATTTTTATAAACCTGACACCGAAACGAATTCAGAAGTCTCTCATTGTTGATACTCCTTCCGTAGAATTTAATGTCAAAATACTAGTTTATTGCATTGAAGGCAATTTTTGATGTTTTTAACGAATCATAACGTTAAATGAAGCTGTAACATTAACAAATTCAATTTGCTTATACAATTGAAGAATCCTTACGAGTATCAGTTGCAACACTACTGTCACGCCAGATGCAGCGTCTCTAGGGTTTCGTAGTAGATAAGGAATACGAGACAAGCTGTCATGAGTGGTAATTCTTTAGTGTTAGTCCAAAGTAGGAGTGCCATGAAGTTGACAAATTGAGTGAAAGGAATGACGAACTACCTGACACAAAATATTACACATGCTGCACGACTTCCATGGTTACTCTTAATTGCAAAGCGTTGGATACCGCATGAATTCACGGAGGTGCCATAGTGACATTGTAGCACACTTGCACAAGAAATACTGATTGGTTAGAATGGGCCGGTGAAGACAGTCCTTAAGGACAGTCTCCAATGGACGGAACATGGGACACGAATGAACCACGGTTGAAGAGAAATCCAATTTATGGAAACATACAAGTTCTCTTCGCCCAAGAAACATGCGCCTTCCACTAAGTAAAAGTTTCCTACGATATCCTTGGGGTAATCTTTGATACGTAATCTGTACCGCACAGTCTGGATCCCCATTATTATTCACGACAGTGTACAGTTCCAAACAATTAACTCTGTGGCTGAACTCCTGAGTAACAGGCATTGGGAGATACTGGACATTCACGGTATTTACCCGATTAGAGTAAGCGCAATAATGACATTTTCGGCACAGCGAAGACAACACTTTACAAGCAACCTATAACTCAAGGGAACCATCTTTCGCAGTTTTAGGCGACCCTTGTGGGACGACCACAGAGAAAGAGACGCGCAGTCGATGATAGTCGCTACATGATGCCTTAAACACGTGTGGCAAAATGCGATAGAGATGAAGGAGATTACATTGAAGGAAAGTAACAAATTATCTGTAAATAAAGACTAGCGCGAATTATAAAAACGTTTCCGCTACATTGTATCCAGCACTTGTCATGACGATTTTATCACAACAAAATGGAATAAATGTTGAACCTTTTCCTGATACATCAAGCATTACAGAATAAAAACTAAGAACAGTCAATTAGTTTCTCTAAACTTTAAATTTAGTGATATCATCTTTGATTCGCAAAATACTCGTGCTTTCTTCTTATTCAATCCTTGTGAAAGAGCGAAAAGATAATCTTTTTCTAAACCACGATCATTAAGACTATTATTTTTAATATAATTGCTTCAAAAATTTCATTAAATACTGGACTACATCGTGTTCATTTGTAGAAATGAAGTAATTGACCAGCTATTTCTCGAAATCCTGTAGTATCCTCGGAATCACATTCACCGAAATACAATTGCTGACATATTAACCAGCTGACTGGTGAATCTCTGTTTGCTGCCATTCTCACAAATTTGCAGTAAGCCCTCACAGCAGATACAAGTTCTTGTACGTGGTAAATCTCACATAATTCACTTTTCGTATCTATTTGATTTTTTCCCCTCTGTGACATTTATAATAGAAACATAACGACCACCTCCAAGACCGCGACGGTATCCTACTAATCACCGCGAGACACAGTGATAAACACTATTATTTGCTTGTAGAGCTTTGCGGTCGGGGTGGTGCACGGGCCGGTGGGGCAGTTAGGGCGGTGTTTACGGAAAGAAATTGCTACCCGTCGGACGCTGTCCTTGGTTTGGCCGCCTCGTGGACACCAGTCCTCGTCACGTGTCGCTGCGGACGACGAGACGCAAGTGACTACGCGGCGTGTCGGACGTCGCAGTTTTGTGCGTGTAACAGTTTCAAGGGAACAAACAGGCAGATTCTCCAAAGGAAGAAATCCCTATGACACAGTATTTGAATTTTTCTTTGCATTTCGTTACATGAGCATTCAAGTTCACGTAAATTCAAGTAAAAGACAAGATTTATTTTCTATCTCTGAAGTGGTATTCATGGGGTTCATTTGAGAAATCGCGAAGATCGTGGACAGTCATATGTGTGTTTGCCGATGGTGAAGTGGAAATTTTTGAAACGGAACCTTGCTACCCACACAGCGCGGTGCTGCGTGAGTTCTTATTGTTTTGTTTTGTTTTATTTTTGAAACCCCCATTCAACCAGTGTTGAGAATTTCCTCACAGCGCAAGAATTGTTCCTAAAACAGGGCAAAATTCTTATTAGTTGCCCACTAAAATAAAGACCTGATTCACAGGATTTCGAGAGGCGACTGAAACTGAATTTGCCAAAGTAATAATTACAATCTTTGTTCCTCCAAACATCGGGAATCTGCAAGCACGAATAGATGCACTCTCCTCGTTCGTGTCTGTGGCGGAGCATGTTGAACACTTCGGTGAGTTGTTCATTTGAAATTTGGGTTGGTTAATTGGTTAATGTGAGGTTTGTTTAAAAAACCAGTGATTTTTTTTCAAAATAATTACTCAGATATATCTTAAGTAGCCCGCATTTCTCGAATATTTATTTACCATTGTCTATTACAGGAAAAGGAATAAATTCCATGTGTAGTGTTTCCTCTCTTTGACCTGCCTTGCCCTAACCTGTGCCGCGTTGCCGAATCCCACCCCGCCCCTTGCCAGCGTCTTCGCCTGTCGCCACCCTTCCGCTTCTTGTCGCTTCCCCTGCGAAGTTCTTTCCGATCGCCCTTGGTAGGGGAAGCAGTAAACAGATGCATTGTATACGTTCTACCGGCAAGAGCACAGTAACAATTTTGAGCCCAACTTACTTCAAGAGTAATAGCGCTATTGAAATGAATTGAAAATAATTTAGTATGCAATTTTCTGGATTTTAAGAAACGTTTACGATGTTTCAGAAAGTTTCTTCACTCTTTATAATATCCGCACAAAATGTGAATACTTTGAAATTTTGCACTGATGGATCGGAAAAGGGGATAGAGAAAATGTTTACGAAAGCTCAAACAGACAATTGTCTTTATTAGGAAAACCTTTTTTATTTAAAAGAAAATAGAAATTTAAAAAACTTGTGCCTGACAAAACATTCTGCCAGTCAGTAAAAACTTCATCGAAGTCAGTTCGTTATATTAGCCCGGGCAGGCAGAAAAGTAAAAAAAAATCGAATTACATTTTATATCATTTTAATAATCATATGCAATTATAAAAAGGCAGTAATTTTGGAATCTCAGTACCCCTAATTGAATTCCTTTGCATTAAGTACTCTTATGATAAATTTTACAACTCTCAATTTCCATCGAGTTCAGACGGTAGCGGAATTTTCAACTGTAGCTAGGTAAAATTCAACCACTATCTGGAAGAGAATTTTAGCCTCAAACTCCTTTGTTTAAGAGTTTTCCATGGTTTCTCCGATCAATACCAGACGAATGCCGGAGCAACATCGTAACAAAATGGGACGCAGAAAGCACAAAACCTTTGCTTCCACTTTCTTGTTCTATAATTTCCTATTGTATTCACCTTACCACACATGTCGGAGTACAGATCTTGTCCCGGCTGGGGCAGTGCCCTTCTGATGAGATATACGTGGATGGGGAAATCCCCGGCAAGGTGACGTTCGCGCTGAATTTCACTATCTAGCGGGGAAACACTGTCCCTTCCCGGATAAAACATTTATTACAAGATATAGGTGTTGTGGTGTGATATTTTGGCATTTTTCATAAAATAATTAAAGACGTCATTGCCAAATATATTATTTAATGCAATAGCAGCTGTCGATGGCTTAGCTATCATCATCAGTTGTCTGCTAGATGGAAGCCAGTCGTTTTTGTGGCTTCCATCCAGCAGACAACTGATGATGATGGCTAAGCCATCGAAAGCTGCTATTGCATTAAATAATATATTTGGCAATGACAACGTCTTTAATTATTTTATTTATTACAAGGACTAATAACCATAGCAATTGAGGGACCCGGAAACATCGATTACTATCTACTTCCATTATGTTTCTGAAGAGTGACAAGTATAAGAGTTCTCTTATTTACGTTTTGTGTAAAAGGTTCTATTTCCAACAATACATCTTAGAGGAGCTCCGCGTAACAGGGTGGACAGTGGGACATCCTTTACGTTATGCTTGTGTTATAGGCCCTAAACCTGCGTGAGGGATCTAGTGGGCGGAGCCGCAAAAAGAGCGTCTCGCCTTTTGATCCAGATGTCTGAGGCACAGTGCGGGTTCCACGCCGTCATTCCCGTCCGCGAAAGCAGAGCGTTGCATGGCATCACAGGACGAGTGGGTCAGACCCGAGTAGTGAGAGCCAGGGAGACACAGGGTGGGGGGATCTAGGCTAAAGTGGATGGCGTAGAACGGGTTGGATGGGATGGGATTGGGATTGGGGTTGGGCTTGGGGTTGAGGTTGGGATTGGGATTGGGGTTGGGATTGGGTTTCGACTTGAGCTGGGACTGGGCTTGGACTAGACAGGACATGGTCTTGCACTTGGGGTTGCCTGGGGTTTGGGTTTGGACTTGTTTTGCACTTGGCTCGCCCTTGATATGTACTTGGCTTGGACTTGGCTTGGGTTTCGCTTGGATTTCGCTTGGGCTTCGCTTGGGCTTGGGATTGGAATTGAGCGGTGGTGGGCTGGTGGATGGGGGTCGCAGTGCGTTGCGGGGCGTCATGGGGCGAGACGCTCGGATGTCGCGGAGGCGACGGGCTCGGTGGCTGTAGCTGCGGCTGCGGTTTCAGGCGCCGAGCAGCGCCGCGTCGGGTTTCGCCCGCGATTACATATCTCCGCCCCCGCTCCTCACAGAATACGTCACCGGAGTCCTTTGTCTCCGCTTTGCGTGTAACGTCTTGCTACCCTTTATTCTCTCTCTCCCTCTCTCTCTCTCTTTTGGATTTTGCGTGGGTAAGAAGTGGATGCCTTTGAAGACGTTCGTTATTTGGGTCATGGCGTGACTTGGAGTGTAACTCGTATATTTAGTTCGTGTCATTTTATGTCCCTTTGCTGTTCCACTTTCTCGTATGATAATTTTACACCTTCAGAAAACAACATCATCTTACTGTTGTTTTTGTTTCTGTATTGAATGTCCTTAACAAGAAGTATTACTTATTCCGAACTAAACTTTGTCAACTCTTTCACTTCCTGACTCTCTTACGACATTATTTGTGAATTATCATCTTCATTACTGGCTTTAAAAGTGTTCTTTATTTCAATGTTATGTACGTTTCTTTCAATATCTTTCACCAACTTCTACTCACATTTTAATGCTACAATCTTCACCTCTCCGATAACCGAAGCCGTCCCTCCTTAGAAATCTGATTGAGGTGCAGCACGGCAGTGCACTGCAGGTGGAGGACTGCCGTGGCTCCGGCACCTTGACCCCATTTGGTAGGCGCCTCGCTCTACTATGTGCACCTGTCTGCAAAACCACTGCCGCCCACCCCGCCGTCCCCTCCGCTCTCGATCTCCCGCCATCCCCGCCGCACTCGCCACCCCTGTCTCCTTCGCCGCCTGCATTGAGTTCGCCCCGTCAACCCCATAACCGTACCCGCCCCCATACTGATCCTCAGTTCTTGGCAATGTGACTGTTTGTTCATCGTTTACAAGTGATTATCGCACAGGTGGGCAACGCTTTGCTAGTCATGCCATTCCAAGTATCTCGTTGTTGTTGGTACTCGAAATTTTCGCATCAGGAAGAAGGCGCCTTAGAGAGACGGATGATTGTTCACTATTAACATTTCTTTAAGATGGCCATGGTCTCTTACACAAATGCTCTGCAAATGATCAAAGTAAAATGATGCGTTCTTATTGTAAAAAATATTATTAAAACTGTTATAATGGTTTTGTAAACTTCCCTAAAATCATCGTCCATTTTCATAAGAAATACATGTAAAATCTAATCTTTTTTTTTTACCTCATATTTCGCAGAACATTTTCTGTAGCTATAAAATGTACGAAACGCATCCAGATGTAAGATTTCCTATTTTTCGCTTTTAAAGTACACACATTTATGCGAGAAAATAGCGCATGCGTGGCAGATCTTGGACTTGTTTTCTAGATAAACAACGTATTAAGTAGCTGGCATTCATTCACAGGTTGCCGATCTACGGATTAAAGAGTCGACATACGTGACGAATCAATTTGTTTTTAACATTCCTTTCATAGTTCAGCAATTTTAGCATGATATGTTGTGCTGAATATCGCTTAAAAAGTTGACTTAATTGACTTATGATTGTAAGTTAATTTTTATGTTAAATATTGTTAATTGTATTACAAAATTGTAATATTCTTAATATACTTCTTGCAGTTTTAAACTTGTAATTACTGAGTAAAGGATTGCATTATTTAATATTACAAATTAGATATGTTCTCTCAAATATCACCTAACATCATCAATTGATTGACAAAATATATGTGGATTAAAACCTTTTTATTTTGCGAACGCATCAATTAACTGGCCTATACATATGGGGATTTTCTTTAATTTCAGTTGAATGTATTTCCTCATTTTTACAGGAACATTTTAGCTGCCCTTAGCTCCTTTGTCTATATGTTGACCATTTCACATATATATTCGTCTACTGGTGCAAAATATTCCTTGTGGCATTTTGACACTTCACTCCGTCGAAGATCAATAGACCATCTCATTTGCTCTTGTTATACTCATTTGCAACCGTCCGCTCCCTCTTCTGGTGGCACTTATTCGCCACGCTGTCGTCGGCATCACCGGTTTCCTGTCCATTCTGCGGCTTCCAGAATTCATCACCGTCGTCGTCTCGGTCACAGTAGCGCGACTTCCACAACGGCCACATCCACCTCCACAAGTAACGCCATATGTACCAAATCATACACCACCACGAGAACCCTCATATGTATCACCACATGCATCACCATATGCTTCACCGTTTGAATCACCACTTACGTCACCACATGCATCGCCATATGCTTCACCATGTGAATGACCACATACGTCACAACATGCGTCACTGCATACATCGTCATACACACCACCATATGCATCACAATATACACCGCCATCATCATCACCACCACCACCACCACCACCACCGACGTCATTATTATTATAACATAGACACAAAAAAAGTTGTCAGACTTGACCTATATTCTCGATGTATGTCGACGCGCCGAAATCGAATCTCAAGCCAGAATTGTGCCACTTCTCTTCAGTTTTTTTAAAACCGGATTCGGATTCAACGCGTCAACATACATAGAGAAATATGTGTCAAGTCTTTAAGTCTGGCGGTTTTTTTTATTATTTTTATTTTGTGTGTATAATCGTATTCGTATCATCAACTGCATCCGCTTCCGAGATCGAGATGAGTCCATAACTACTCGTACATTCCAATCCGCCGATCCATTAGACGTCCCGGTGTGGAACAGCGCTGGCAATGGCGGCGGTGGCGTCGGCGGCATCGGTGCGTTTGCCGCGAGGAGTGACTTTCGCTCTCCTTCCGTTTCCTGCCGAGGCGTGTTACCTCATCCGCCTGCGCCGGGCTCCTCACCGCACCGGTTCGCCAGCGTGCCTCCTCACCAGACACATCTGCTTCCGCTTCAGCCACCTCCGCCCTCTGCGTTCCCATTTGCATCTGGAACTCGATGCGCCAACAAAGGCAACAAAAGCACCGTTGTGTTTCAGCAACACTTCCATTTTTACGGCTTCAATAATCCAGGTTTACTTGGATTTCATTAATTTTGTTTTTGATTTCCGTATTTTTATATTTCACCCAGCCAAGTACGTTCTGAAAAGGTAGACATTGATGATCGAGATACGTGCCTGCCGGAAGAATATGTCTCGTATATTTCAAAACTATTTTTGATGTTTGCGATTTGTTTGATTGTTCAACTACCTTTTTTCATGAATATCTAATCTGGGACCCTAGACGCTAGATCCTATTATGCAGAAATTGCGCAAATTCACACATACGTATTTCGCACAAAGCATAT